CTCACCCAGCCATCTGAGTGCCCCCTGGCAGCCTTTGGACAGTCAGGCCTCTTCAGGGGCAACTGCATGGCCAGCTGTTGGCTTTTTACTGAGTGCTAGAAAGAGCTCAGACTTAGGTCACTTGATTACCTGCATATCCCAAGAGCAAGGGACCATCTCATTAGTGGTGAAAGCTTAAAGATACTTATCAATATTTTCTGGCTACAGTTGTTTCCAGCTGGTTTTATCATGGTGGGATCACCTGGGACCTTGCTAATCAAACTGCTACATTAATTTTATTGAAACAATGGTGCCGTTTCCCACCTCTGCACTGTGGACGCCAATACTCATTTTCTATGACATGGTGGAAAGGAGAAGTAAGTTTGAGAAACCCTTTATCAGCCTGAGCAGGCCGTGGTACACGCTCACACGTCGTAAGTTTTGAGAAGTCAGTCTTGCAATGAAGGAACTTGCTCACCTCAGTTAAATGTGGCATTCTGCAGGACTATTTGGCTTTGGACAAAGCTTAGAAGACTGCCTTTGCAACAACTAGTACAATGACCATGATTAGTACTCAATGGAAGACATGCTGAAGGAGTGTGTCCCCAAGAAAAATTAGGGGTTCTCTGGTTTGCAGTTTTCAGGCACTATTGGTACAATATTGACCACATGAATGTGCTTGGATGTGGTACACAGCCCCCACTGTGTTCTGGATGCATGGAGTTGCTTCAATTACACGGAGGGAGGCAGGCATGAAAAGAGGTGTGTAGTATCACAATTATTTAAAAGGGTAAAAATAGTTTAAAAGTTTGAATTGCCATCTGACTATATCCCATAAGAAATGCAAATTCTTGATAACCTGTGTTTCTATAAATTGAGTATTTATAGCTCTGAGCCATTAGCACTACGGCAGTTTTTAAATACTAATTTTTTTTCTCAAAATGCAACAAAAATGTTAATTATAGAATCTGGGTGGTGGGTATAGGGCTGCTTATGGTAAAAGTCATTCAAGTATTCTGTGTGTTCAAAATGTTTATGTTAAAATATCCAAAAAGATGTAACTGCATATAACTTGTTTATTCTGAAACACAATATAATTTAATAGTTTTTATATTCTTTTTCTTTCAAATTGAAATACCTCTTACATATTTTAAAAATCATTTTGATCTAGGAGAAAGACTATAAATGGAAGTTGATGATCCTGACTCAGCAACAGGAAGTGGTTTTGTATAAATTGCTGCAAAAAATGTTTACAAAGCCGAAGTAGATTCTAATCATGTAATGCACAGCACATTAATGCTAATTTTTTACAGGGCTGTTATTACGTCCTTTCCACCGACGGGTGAATTCAGATATAAAACCTGTCTAAGGCTGAGGAGCAATTGCTGACACAGCTGGTCATCTCCACCCATGTGTCAAACACTCTACTCCTCCCTCAGCATGGAAATCACCCATAAATTACAATGTGTAAGGCACTTAATCTAAAGATTCACCATTACTATCTGTGTGTAAAGAGAGGGAGACACGATTACAATGCGTGCAGATGCACTGCCAGTGCGAGCTGCTGGCTCGGTGCTCCCCAAGGAGGCCTCCTCTGAAGCTGATTACAGTGCCAGGATGTGGGCCTATGTTAAACAAACAATGCTTCTCTTTTTTTATTCTTCTGCTTTTTGATTTTAATTTTAGCAGCATCTACTTTTAGTCATAAGTCTGTGAAGTAATCTCATTTTAATATATTTAAAAATGCAAGGGATGGGAAAAATGGAGATAGCAAACTGTGAATTGTTACTTAAGGATAGTTTTTTAGAAATCAAGAGCATATCGATGGGAACTATAAAATGCTTCTTACATCATCAACATGTGTCACTGTCAGAACCCCAAGGGGATCATTAATACGAAAAACCCACTTGTATTGTGGAGCAAATCAGGTCTTGAATGCCAACGAGAATGACTTAACTTTCATGTGTGTCTCTCTGTAAAATTTGAACATTTTATATTTGACCGAAAGGCCAGAACATCTTGCTCCCATGTTTGGCTTCTGTGTATGTTATGCTGGACTGATACCACCTTGTCCAGGAACCTTCAAAATGACATCAAATGGGGGGACCTTTTTGAAGTCTTTGAGCCAAAATATTTTTAGAATACTCTTATTTTAAATGAATACAGATGCGGGCCCTTTGTACCAAAGTTTGAGCTACACCCAGGAACAGGGATAGCCTCGGAATTTGGGGAGTCAAATCATAGGTGGGTCCTTCTTCCAGATCCACCAAGTTCACAAGAAGCTTTTCTCATTCCTTGTGTATTTATTAAACAGTCTCAGGCATTTTTGGTGGATATTTTGGCCTATTTTTAAAATGTCAGTTATTTTGTTTCCTGATTTAAAAAGTTTACACATATTAACTTCAAATATATGGAAACTACAGAAGTATAAAGACGACAATAAACATAACCAATAATAAGCACTTTAACATTTTGACATGTTTCTCTATCAAAATCTATTTCTGAGTTCCAATACAAACTTTCTCTTTACCTCAGCGCAAAAGTATAAAATAAAATAGAATGTAACTTGATCTCTTTGGTTCCTGAATTTAGAGAATAAGAGCCTGTATAAAGAGGGACCCTAAATGAGCCTTCTATGTAGACCTAAGTATATTCAGGTAGCTAGAAGGCTACACATCCAAATTATATTATTGAAGAAATAATGTATTTATTTTTCCAAAACCTGCATCACATTTTTAAGAGCGTAAGGTCATATAGGTTAAACAAAATAAAGTTTCAGCTTCTCCTGAAACTTTTAACATTTCCTTTCTCCCACTTTCTTACAATTTCTGAAAGTGTGGCCTTATATATTTTTTAATGTAATGTACTTAAAATGTATCTAACTAATGTCATACAATGTTTCTTTGTAATTAAATCTCAGAAGAACACATTTAATGTTATACTGCTCAAAATTTAAAATCAGAACCTCTTTTGTCCATGATATAAATCAGTAATAGGTGTTCAAGTACACAACATTTTTAATTGTTATAAACAAAAATAGTAACAAATGCGAAGCTAACCTCCAGTTAGCCGGTGAACTACTGGTTTCCTTTGTAAATGTTCAAACTTCTTTCTGAATTGCATCAATGAACAAGGAAGCCAGATCCGGTTTCCCAGAGGGTCATTAAGGACAGAAACAGTCTCCTGAGCACAGGAAGTCTATAAGCACCAACAAGAACAAGGGGTTCCCGGGGGAAATGACAGTGTCATTGCCATGCTCATTCAGGTCTGGCCACAGGAGCACCACGGATATCTAAAAGCATACTAGTTAGGGCAAGGTAAAATATAACTTTGTTTAACGAAAAATCACACTCCTTATATATGTAACATATGTAACTCAACCCAAAATGCAATGTGTAGTATATACAGTGGTCCCTCAGTTTTCGAATGTCTCGGTTGACGAACATTTCGATTTACGAACTCTGTAAACCCAGATGTAAATGCTTCGGTTTTCAAACATGCCTCGGAAGTTGAACATGCCACGTGGCTTCCGCTGAGGGCACGATCCTGGCCTACCTGTTGGCTCTTGATCCCTCGGTTTTTGAACGTTTCAGAACTCGAACAGTCTTCCAGAATGGATTACATTCGAAAACCGAGGGACCACTGTAAATCTCAGGAGAGAAAATTTAAATTTCCCTTTGCTGTGCCCAATATTCTGCACTAGCATCATTAACATATCTCCCTGTCTCTTTATGTCCTGGACAAAGCACCCCGGCTGCAGAGTCACATGTTAAGAGGTGTATAGGGCAATAAACAGACTCATAAGCAGCGGAAAAATAGCTCTATAAGAATATTATTCTTAGAGTAATTTAGTAGAATAATGTAAATCTGAAGGTCTTAGATTATACAAATTGAAATTAGGTAGTATTTCTTGAAGATCTGAGAACTAGTACCTTTATACCAAAAATTATTTCACAGTTAGTTATATGTGCATTGGGCAGACAGAGAAAGAGGGGGAAGGTGCAAAAAGCAGGGAGGTGAAGAAACTCTAGGAAGTGAAGAACATCCCTGAACATCTAACCATCACCCACAACACTGACCAGCACGTTTTTTAAAAAGATGTCCTCATTCAAGTAACGTTCAGTATAATCCACATGTACTGATGAACCACAGAGCCTTAAATTGAAAGTAGTATTTACACCACTGTAATTAACCTAGTTATGAAACACTGGAAAGGAGCAAAGGGAAGGCCAAATATTATGGGCACGCCATCTGTGCAGCTTTGCCAGGAAGCTCAGTTTAACGCTCCCCAGGAAACCACTGGTTTATTCCCACCGATCGCTGGGGGAGGGAAGGGCCTGGACAGGGGGAGAATAGACATCTGCCCAGGAAAGTCTGGGTAACATAGGGGAAGGTACTCATCTGCCAGTCACACCTGGGAACAGGTCATTGGCCAGGATAGGTGTGGCCACTGCAGGTATGGAAAGATTTGAGATACTTAAGCTCCTAAATAAAGGAGTTTGCTCTCTTGCCTCTTGGGATGTTGCACTTGACTCCCGGCCTGCGGGGCTCTCACACTCCTGCGTTCGCCCACATGGCCCACAGCCATGTAGACCCCACACAATGGACTGATGGACTACAACTAGCCTGATGCTAAACTGGACCCAGTTCCACCATGGAACAGAAACTTTGGACACTGGCTTTGCTTTTAATTTAGCTCTAATGGATCCCCAACTACACATCTTCTAGGACTGTATTAAGGGAAATGGGACTTTAGAAACCAAGGGATATAATTCCACACAAATAAAAATCACTCATCCTCCCATGTGAATCTCAGAAAATTCTTTTTCTTGATATATCCTAAGGACTCGATCCCCTGCATCCAGTGGGGAAGGGGATCCCGCGCTTACAATGATAACAGAATGAGCTTAAACATATCCGCATTCGCAAAATTTTATATGCTACTACTTCTACCACTAGAGGCCTGGCATTTGAAACACCAACTGACACACGTATTTTGAAGAACATGAGTTGGTTCCTACCTCTACATAGTCCTTGGCGTGGCCCCAGTCTCGTTTGGCATCCAGATTTCCCAAACTGAAACATTCCAGTTGTCCAAGGTAAATCTTAGCTACTGACCGGCTAATTTTTCGAGTAACAAAATTAGCTCCTAAAAAGAGACAAAAGATGTATTATCAGTAGAGTTATCTGACAACTAACAGTTTGGTGAACCAAACCCAACCTCAGCCTCTGGGCATTCCTTTCATTTCTTTTTTTCCCTCTTTAAAATAATAAAAAAAAGAAAAGAAAGTTCATTAACTGTCATTTAGACAAGTTAAGAAGCTCTAAGTGTCACATCAGCTCTATTTTCATAACAAACATTTTTCTTTGGGGGACTTACGTCTTAACATTCCTAATATGTTGCTGCAATATGCGACCCAGGCATTAGGCCAAAGAAAAGCTATCACAATGCCAGTTTTTAAACAGAAAATTCAAAAGGGTTGTATAAAGGGAAATGCCAGAAAGGAAGACAGACATCTAAGACCACCCTGATTTTTTAAGAACATAAACATCATCTATTCCTATTAATAAAGCATATTCTAGGGCTCTTGGGAGGGAGAAGAGTGTAACTTAGCTCACAGGGTAGGTACCTGGTCGGAAGAAACACAGAGGAATGCATCTGAATTGTCAATAAATGGTGATCATTTTTATTGAGAAACCTGCATAGCCATCCAATTATAAATTACACGCCAATTCTAAATCAAAAGCTTCTCTGTACTACCCTTACTGCAAGGTACCTTCCAGTTTCAGTTAAATGTGATCTACAGGGATGGGCTCCTGAATTCTTCATAAATACTTTGAAATGAATGAATGAAAGAGGTCATACATGTTAAGAAAGTAATGAAATTGTTTTAATGTTCTCTGGTCTTTAATGAAAGCCTCTATCTACTTTTAAGAGGTCGCAAAAAGGGACAAAATTAAAAGACACTGCTGAGACAATTTTATCAGTGCCCCTGTATCTAGGTGAAGTTATCACAAAACACCAAGTAACGCCAAATTCTCCAGGTACTAACACACACGTGAGCTAGTCAATAATGGCTCCCACAGTTTGGATAGATTGCAATCACAATTTATCACATTTCAGTAACTTTAGCTTTGTTCTTGTGCAGATGAAGCAGGAGGGTGAATGTTATGATAAAAACTTTTGGCTTCTAGAAAATTGGCACAGGAATAAGGGGAATTTTCTAAATAGGTTTTCTAAATTTTGGCAAGAATATGGTCCAGTGCAAGTTCAAGCCTATACTAGATTCACTTACTACACAAACTCGGTGTGTACATTTAAACCAATGCCATGTCATTAAAAATGACAGGGGAGATCAACCAAAGAACATGTGCATATATGCAGAATCCATGGACACAGGCACTAGTGTGGTGAAGGCCTGGGGGGCAGGGGCAGGGTGGAGGGAGGCAAAGGGGGGTGAAAATGGGGGGCACCTGTAATAGACTGAACAATTTAAAAAATGACAATGGGACTTCCATGGGAATCCATATTTTCAGTTTCTCTTAGCAATTCACACAGCACCTTAAGAAATCCAAAGTTTCAACTTCTCATAGCAGTTTATAAAACACACAGAGCTCGTTCAGAAAAGAGCCGTTTGAAATGAAGAAATGTTATTAGGTGCAATCCTTCTCAATCTATTACTGATTAGCAACATTTATTTTTTATTGACAGGTAACAATTAAATTTGTAACTAAATGCAGGTTTCTTTATGTCTTTCTATTTCAATGGCAGGACTAGACTATCATCCAAAGTGTCCCATATAAACTTGAGATGCTCAATCATTAGAGGAAGTTCCCAACACAAAACAGTTCCAATGGTTCTATCTACCAGTGAACTAACCTAACGTTCAGAAGCCAAAGGGAAGTTCAAACAATCTACTTAGGCCCTAACCTCACTGACCATTCTTTCTACCAGTATTAACCAGGCACCTACGAAATTCTGAGTGCCAGGCTGGGGGTCTGGGAGTGAAGCAGCAGCCCCAGTCTCAAGTAGCACACAAAGGGTAAGACAGACATAAATTCGTGCTGCCAGAAATGAAGTAGCAGCTTTGTGAGGACAGAAACAGTCAGGGCCTGTGACCCTGCTGCTGCTGTGGTCAGTAAATACCTACCAGGAAAGGAGCCTGAAATGAGCCCCCTAGTGTGGTCATGAAGGGACTAATGAAGTTGTGTGACAGGGACAGTGATCCAGGCAGGAGGAGCAGCACATGCAAACACAGGGAGGAGCCTCTCAGCAGGCCTTTCTCTGTAAGCTCTTGCCACAGCCTCGCAATGACCACAACCATGACACCTAGTGATGGCCACTGCTGTCAGTGCTGCACTCATCTTTATAGATGCAGAAACTCATGCAATTTTCAGAGCAACCCACTGGTAAGAACTGTTACTTCCTCATTTTTAGATAAAGAAGCTGAGATTCAGAGAAGCTATGCAAACCGGCCATTCTAAAACAGGGTACCAATCAGTGTCTGTGTGAATGCCAAGCCCAGGCTCTCACCTCACCAGGACTCAGAATGGCAAGCTAGGAGCCATGCAGCCTTCCCTACCTGGATCCAGTTATCCTGGATAACTAGTCAGATCTATTTGAAATCTCTAGTTCTTTAAATTTAATGTTTAATGTTATTATTTTTAACAGGTATACTGAGATATAACTCACATACCATACAATTCATCCACTTAAAGTACATAATTCAATGGCTTTTCGTATATTCAAGAACTGTGCAGCCATCACTACAATCAATTTTGAAACATTTTTATCTTTCCAAAAAGAAACCCCATATCATTTAGTGGTCACTCCTCATTCTCCCCTAATCCTCCTGGCCCTAGGCAACCACTAATCTACTTTTTGTCACTATAGATTTGCCTATTCTAAACACTTCATATGAATGGAATCATATAACCTGGTCTTTTGTAACTGGCTTCTCTCACTCAGCATATTTTCATGGTCCAGCTATAATACAATGTAAATCACTACTTCATTCCTTCTTTATGGTTGAATATTCCATTATGTGGATATGACACATTTCATTTATTCATTCACCAGTAGATGGACATAGGGGTTATTTCCATCTTTTGGCTACTGAGAATAATGTTGCTATAAACATCCATGCACAAGTTTTTGTTTGGATATTATGTTTTAACTTCTCTTGGGTATATATCTACAGGTGGGATTACTGGGTCACAGGGCAACTCTAGGATTACTGAGGAACTGCCACATTGTTCTCCAAAGTGGCTACACCATTTTCTATCCCCACCAGCAGTGAACTGGGGTTCTCATCTCTCCACATCCTCCGTAATACTTGTTATGGTTTATCTTTTTGATGATAGTTATCTTAGTGGGTACTGAGTGTTATCTCATTGTGACCTTGATTTGATTTCTCTAATGGCTAATGATATTGAGCATCTACATTTTTATGTGCTTATAGGCCACTGGTTTATTTTCTTTGGAGAAATGTTTATTTACATCCTTTGCCCATTTTTAAATTGTGTTCTGTCTTTTTATAATTTGAGTTGTAAGAGTTCTTTATATAGTCTGGATCCAAGTCCTTTATCAGATATATAATTTACAGATATCTTCTCTCATTGTATTGGTTATATTTTCACTTTTTAGATGGTGTCTCTGTTGCACAAAAGTGTGTGTGTGTGTTTTACTTTAATGAAATCCAATTTTTCTAATTTTTGTTCTTTATAGTATGAGCTTTTGGTATCACATCCAAGAGGGTTTTGCCTAGCCAGAGATCATGAAGACTTTCTCCTATATTTTTAAGTAAATTGCACTGATCTTGTTCTTATATTTAGGTGTTCCATCCATTTTTAATGTTTTGTATATGTGATGAGGAAAGGGCCCTACTCCGCCCTTTGGCATGTGTGTATACAGCTGTCCTCGCACTGACGAAAAGATTACTCTTTCTCCGTTTGCCTGTCTTCATATCTTTAGTCAAAAACCAATGGACTATAAGTGTGTGGGTTTATTTTCCACTTTAATTCTACCCCATTTATCTATGCATAACTGGCCTTATGGCAGAACCACAAGCTCTCAATTACTACAGCTCCATGTAAGTTGTAAAGTCGAGATGTGCAAGTCTCCGACTCTGGTCTTTAAGGCTGTTCGGCTACTTTCAGTCCCTGAAATTTCCATATGAGTTTACAATCAGGTTGTTAATTTCTACAACAAAGTCAACTGGGAATTTTTTGATAGAGATTGTGTTGCATCTGTAGATCTATGTGGGGAATACTGCTGTTTTAACAGAATTATGTATTCCAATCCATGAACACAGGACGGCTTTCCATTCATTTTGGTCTCTTAAAATTTCTTTCAGCAATGTTCCGTAGCTTCCAGAGAGTAAGTTGTGTGCTTCTTTTGTTAAATTTGTTCCTAAGTACTATTCTCTTTGATCTTATAATATACCGTTTCTTAATTTTATTTTCAGATTAATTTTAAAAATTATTATTGCTACCATATGCTTTACTAGGTAATTCTTAGGAGAGGCTTAAAATGATTTTTAAAATTTTTGCTCTCTTCATTTTCACTCCTTATCATATAAGACTGCTGTCCTTAGGAGAGAACTATATAAAATCATTATACGCGAGGGCTAAGACCGCAGAGGTCACTCTGTCCAATCATCCCAAACGTGCAGGTGAGGAAAGAGAGGCGAAAAGAAGCTGAGCAATGGTCAGGACAAGGTGCCAAGCCTGGCCTCGGCCTGCCCACCTTGAGCTGTTTCCACGCACCTGCAGCGCAATACAGAAGGCGCCCCTCCTAGATTATTCAAGTGGCTGTGTATTACAACACATGTGGGTAATGAAACCACCGTAATTATTTTATTATTTTATTTTTATTTTTTAAAAACATATCTTTATTGATTTCAGAGAGAGGAAGGGAGAGGGAGCGAGAGAGAGAGAAACATCAATGATGAGAGAGTCATCGATCGGCTGCAGCCTGCAACCCGGGCATGTGCCTTGACTGGGAATCGAACCCTGATCTCCTGGATCCTAGGTTGATGCTCAACTGCTGAGCCACGCTTGGCTGGGCCACTGTAATTATTTTAAATATATACTTGGCTTCTAAGAGCCTTAAACTAGAAGACCCCAGCTAGAAAGAAGACCAAGAAA